CAGTGTAGTTTCTTTTGGTAGTCCAAGGTGGAAGAGATAGTTGTCACCTTTAAAAGTGGTTCCCTCCTAGTACCTGGACAGCTTCACTGTCTGGTGTAAAAATAGTAGTGTAGGCTCCTCCTTCCCCAGTTCACTTTCCCACGGAGGCGTGTTGGGCCTGTAGCACCTGTCCTCCTTTCCCTGCACCCAACCCACCCCAGGAACACCTAAATGAAGCAATGAAAGAAGATGATGTGAACCTGCCGCCCTTGACTCTTATGTGGTCTTTTTGCAGGGCTGCAGAAAGTTTTGTGTCTGGCTTATATTCATCATGTTACCTGGTGAACTCAACTATCATGAGAGAATCCAAGAAATATAAATCCACAGTTCATATTTTCTAAAGTAGTGCTTTTCAGAGTAGCTGGACACTCTTTTTCACCCTATGGCAAACTGCTTTTGTTAACCTGCCAATTATTCGATCTTCAAAGACTTTTCATTAAGGTGTGAAAGGCAGACTGGGTTTGTATAGTTGGCCATAGGCATCCCCGCAAACGTATGCTTTGCCGAACCTTGCAAAACAGCTGATTGGAGGGGTCATTAGGTAGCTGGGAGGGTGTTTGTGGGGGAGGAGGAGCAGGGAGGAGTCTCTGGGAGGAGCAGAGTGGGAAGAGGTGGCGTATGGGCAGTGGAGCACCCAGGAATAAGAAAAAAACTCAGTACTTACTTATTTGGTTACATAACTAAGCTATAGTGAAATCAGCAGGATATCGCTTTCCTTTTAACTGTTCTTCCAGTAAACTATCTTTTACAACTGTGTGTGTCTCATCCTCTGTGAGAGCATGTGGTCAAACGGTAAGAGCTAGACCAAATTTGGCATGTGGCTTCCTCCTACCCAGGACGCTTGTATCCCAACACCCTGCTCTGAGCCTCTCACACCTCTGGTGTGTAATACATCATGATTAACCCTTTCCTGCTCACGTTGTAGCCCTGGGACAAGAGGTGGCTGGGTTTCTATTGTTGGCCAGCAGGAACGTGGAAATGTTACCTGCCTTTTGGCACTGTTCGCATTGACAAACTGCTTCCACCTGCATTGGAGTGGTGGTAGGGGTGCTCTCTGAATGAGCACACTATCACTATGCTAATGTATGACCGAATAGGATCACTTTTTTAATAGAGACTGAATTTGATGTGTACACATAGACACGCTAAATAGTATTATTAAGAAAAACAGTAAGCCTTCATAATGAGGGGGAAAAAGCAGGGAAGCTTTTAATAATACCCAGCCTAGATCTCCACCTCTGAAGCTTGCTAGCATGGCACCTTGTTCTGTCATCTGCCACCAGTGAGCCTATTCTAGCTCCAGCCGCTTTGGTTGCCCAGTTCAGGAAGTTCAAAGCTGCTATCCAATATCCCGTCATTCTTCTCTTGTGCAGACTAAATATCCCCACTTGGCGTAGCCTCGCCTTATAAGTGATGTGCCCCAGGCCCCCAGTCACTTTTCTTGCCATCTTGCTAGACTCTGTTCAAATTGGCCTCATCTTTTCTGTAGTAGAGGGCCCAAAACTGGACAGCATTTACATGTCTTTTGATGTCATTAGCCCCAGGTACTCTGCACCTACAGCAATTCATGAGAGTCTTCGCCCATAAGTGTAACACTCTGAACTTATCATTGATGACCCTCATCAGATTTGTTGTGGACCTATCCTCCAATGTGTCTAGGTCACTCTTGGACCTAATTCCCACCCGCCAGACTAGCTATCTACCCGCCTCTTCCCCCCCCGCTCCCAGCTCTGTGAACATTCAAGCCATCCCACCATCCAGCAGAGCCATGAAGATGTTAAACAAAACTGGCCCTAGAACTGACCCATTAGATATCAGTTGCCACTACACAGCGTCGGTGCACATTGAGCCTGACAGTCTAGCTAGATTTCTTTCCACATTATAGTGCAGTCATCCAAGCTATAGTTCTTAAACTTGCTGGCAAGAATATCGTGGCTGACAATAGCAAAAACTGTCTAAAGTCCAGTTATAGCATGCCCATCCGTTTTCCCCTTATGCGCCAATAAATCTGTTAGGTTATACTGTGCCACGCAGGCTTGTCTCTTTTGCAGCTATTCTAAATAATCTGTTGTTTCATTACTGAGTATTGATCACCTTCGCCCCACATAGTAAACTGTGCTACCCCGTGTAGTAAACTGACACTCGTGTCAGTGACGATGGAGGCATACAAGGATTGAGTACTTCAGCATTTTCCACGTTAGCTTTGGTTGTCTTCTACAATTTTCCCTGATCTTATTACCAACATACTTTAGAAATCGTTTTTATTGTCCTTTGCTAGCTGCAAGGCCAGCTGTGCTCTGAACTTCCGCATTTTATCCCTGCATGCTCAAGCAATGATTTCATAATGCTCCCTAGTGATCTGTCCAAGTTGCCACTTGTCTTAAGCTTCCATTTTGTGTGAAAGATCATTGGAGTTTTTCTCTGTTAAACCAAGCAGCTCTCCTGCCATATTTGCTAGTCTGGCTGGACAGTAAGATGATTTGTTCCTGTATCCTGTAAGGTTTCGTTAAAATACTATCAGCTGGCCTTGATTCCTCTGTAAATTCTACTTAATGTTGAATAACCAAGAGCCAGTTGCTAAAATAGTTTTTTTCCTAAAATGATCTGTAGAGATAGAAGTTGGAATCATGCATTATTAAAACAATATAGAAACATAATAAATCAAGCGCAGTTTACCGTGCTAGGATAGAATTTCTGCAAGGCAGCAGTTTAGCGCTCAGAAATCAATATTGATAAGATAGTGGAAATATTGTTATATGCGAATATATTCACGTTAAGGCCAGGTTCTATTTTCAGAAATCATGCAAAAAAGCATCACGGGCGTCCCAGGCTTATTGTTCGTTACCAAATTCACTTAGTTTATAACTAAAAAGACAAAAACACTTTTCCAGTGCTTTGTCTGTAAAAATGTTGCTTGAGACCTCAAACACAAATTTTTGGCTTGTCCAGCTTCATGAGTAGCAACTGTTACTGTAAGCATTAGTTGGTATCAGTTTGATTAATGGTTCTGTGTAGTGTCATGAGCAGACTGCATGCATACATAATTCTGGAGTCTGGCGAGTTTTTTAGTTGACCGTAGCCAAAAGATTAGTTCTCAGTGACACAAGAAGGCAGCTCTGTGATTTTGGGGGGAGGGGTGGCAAGCACAGCCAATTTTTTTTTGTTGTTATAACACAAGCAAAGCCATTGGAGGTCATTTTTGGCCCTGATTTGCATCAATTCGTGTACCACTCATATGGCTAGCGCATGATTTGCAATTTAATAGAGTTTTTTTTTAAAGGGTATGCCCAGTATTAAATTTCATCAGTGCATTTTTTTTAGACAAACATTATTATTAACTAATAGGCAACGTTTACCGACCACCGCAACTTTTTTTAATGTGGATCGTTTCAACTCTGTTTATAGTCATTTAATCAAAAATTTACATTCGAAAACTGTTGGCACGGCTTAAACAGAGTTTTCCTCATTGGGCTAATCGTCTGCAGCGCTTTGCTCACAACTATCAGTCAGTTTGTTCTGTTTGGTCAGACAGGAACACAT